AAAAAAAAAAAAATAGTATTACTTACAAATAATTTTTTTATTTGCGTGTGAGGAAAAGAGATGCTAAAATGTAACACGTCCCGTGCAAGGTAGAACCATCGAGAATATGCCTTGCCAGCTGGTTACAGCATAATTTCTACTATATATGTGGTCGCATTTTCTTTTATTATTATTATTATTATTATTATTATTATTTATATTTTTTTCTTAATTTCATTTATATTGATGGAGTATACTATATATGTTTCGTGTTTTATTTTTTTTTGTATTATTATTATAAATCAAGATTGGGGCTATTTTCACGAAAAAAAAAATAATAATAATAATAGTTTAGCAATTTAACATGGCTATGAATATATGATAAGTCACACTTTGTTGTCATTTTCTAAATTAAAAAATTGTTCACACATATTTTGGTATTTACATTTTCACTTGATTTAGAATGGGAAAGAAATATTAAATCAAATCAGATGGACTTTTAATTTGAAAATTAAATTAGTTAATTTAAAAAATTTGGGAAAATTGTAGTATTATAAATTTAAAGTTGAGAAGCAATGCAATATTATGAGTAACACATTTTTTTTCCATCATAAAATAAAATGCATAATGAAAATGACTTTGTATATATAATTCATGATAATCTCTATTATTAATATTATTTTGTGTGTCTTCTATATAATAAACAAGCTAAATTGTTTAACTTATTAAAAAGTAGGGTTGTAAATAAATATTGCCTCATTTAAAATTTGAAGGCTTAATTATATTTCATGCTAACCACAAAGACAATATATAGTAAAATGTATTTTTTTTTTTTTTTTATATTATTGGGATAATAGTTGCTTAGACGCGTTTTTTGTGTGTGTGTGGGTGTGTGGGTGTGTCTATTACGTGCCTTCACGCTTATCATTAGATCAATAAATAAATTACATGCAACCAACAAGGGTTAACTCAACTGGTAAGCAGTTTGATGTCGCTTAAGCAAGATTTTGGGTTCGAGTCCTTGTGAATGCAGGAAACTTTTATTGAGAGACTCACCCACCATTGCCAGATGTACGACCCGGGTCGACCAACGAATTAGTCGGGACAAAACTCCGGATATTGTGGCTGGCTACCGAAAATAAATTACATGTTGTTATTTGCCTTTCTGTTCTTCATTCTTGCATCAAATAGCCAATGTCAATGTGAACTGAAAAACAATAGGAGAAAAATAAATAACATATTATAAAAGTATATAATAAAATAGTAGATAAGTCAGATGAAATAAATGTTTTAATTTAAAAAAAAAATACATAAAGAAGCTCGTGAGATAAGTTCAAAATTTATTAAAAAGTTCATCATACTAAATTAAGTTTGTTTGAATACAAAAAGCTTATAAAACTAACGAAATTAGCTATAAAATAACTTACAATGTTTATTAAACGCACTCTAATTACCTACAAATGCTTACTTATAATAGCTTATTATTTGTAAATTATGAGAAAATTATAATGGGGATAAGTTCATTTATAATAGTTAATTAATTAACTAACAACTAATTAACAAAGTATACACATGTTTGATGTGGTTACTGGTTAAAAAATAAGGCTCAAAACATAAACTGAAAAAGAAAACTAAAAAGTTATTGAGATTAGGTTTTCATGTTGTTTCAATATGTATTAACAACTTTAGTTAACAATGAGTAATGTGCTTGGATAAATTAAATACAAGTTGACTGCTTTGTGATATGTTATTAATTCAAAACGTGTTGAGCTTAGGTGGCAGATTCTCACGCTTCGGATGCTGACATGGCGAAAATCTATGCTTCGTGATGTTGTTTTTATATTATTTTTGCTTTGAGTTAGGTTTGTTATTAGACATAAATAACTTTACACATATATCATTAACTCAACGCCCATGTTGTACATGGGTATTAATACTAGTTATGCTTGATTAATTTCACACATAGCAGCTATGTTTACGAGAAAACGACAATTTATGTATGTGTAGGTATCTAAATATGCTTAATTTTGTAGTTTAGTTAATCACACACATTGGATAAATTTTTTCTACAAATCCATTTGAAACTTGAAAGTTTAATCATCAAAAGCATGAAAAAGATGAGAATAAAAGTGAAAGTTTCAATCACAAGTATGAGAAGATGAGAATGTTAGGAGACCGCCCCACCGTTTTGATGACTTTCATATGACTTTTCATGTTTTTAGTCCGTTTAATTTGATTAATAATTGTGAACCTAAGTCATATGAAAATGTTTTGAAATTTTAGAATTTTGTGCAATGGTTGAATGACATATATCAAGAAATGACTTCGTTGCATGTTAATATTACGTGGATTATTGTGCCTAACCATGTTAATTGTTCTATTGTGGATTGTAAGTGATTTTTTAAGCACTAGAATGAGAGTGATTCTGTTAGATTCAACGCTAGGTTAATGGCGAAGGGGTGTACACAATAAGAAGCGATACACTATACTGAGATATTTGCTCTTGTTGTGAAATTTACTATTGTGCGAATTATGCTTGCTTTAATTGCTCAATTTGATTGGGTGTTAAAACTGCTTTTTTCACAGTGAACTTGATGAGACCATTTATATGCGACAGCGGGCAGCCTGATGGCTTTGTTGATTCTAGGTGACCTAATAATGTTTGTATGATTAAAAAATCGTTATATGGTTTGAAGCAATCTTTTAAACAAATGAAATAAAAAGTTTGATGAGTGCATGTTATTTTTGAATTTTATCCAAGAGCGATTGGGTGTTGTCCGAGACTGACCAACGACTGTTCGGACCAATCGGGGCCAGCCCGGGCCCAACGAGACGAGTCGGACAACCACAACAGAGAATAAAAGTTATATTGCATGCTAATAAAACAATTTGCACAATTTTAATGATGTACTAATGGAGATAGTCATAAAGTTCATACCTTATAAAGTTTTATAAAATTCATATTGTTAAACACTTAAAAGAAACAAACCGTTCATGAACTCGTTTCGCGAAGTTTAAGTTCAACTAGACTTGTTTTGTGTTACAACTCGTTTAGTTAGCGAGTTGGGTTTAACTCAACTTGACTTATTAAATCTTGAAAATATAAACTTTTACATGATTTTTTGTATTTCAACTCGTAAAAGTTCAAGTTTCGCTCGAGCTCGATTCATTAATGTTAATCAACTAAACAAATTTAAGTAACTATTGACTCGTTTCAATAACGAGCCAAGTTCGATCTTGAATGTGCGCCTTAGAAGCTACTTTACCCCTCTATTCATTTCTTATAAAATATGAAATGTGATGCTCATTCATACACTTCATCAAAATTTGGCCCGACCGACCCGACCCGACCGATATATAATTGCCCATTATACATAGACATGTGTAATTTATTTACTATAAACTTCATACGTTGCCAATTTGCAAAAGTTGGAACAGCATATGATTAAATGTTAAATGGGTCGATAAATCGTACTTTTAGAAAAAGTACATATTTATATCGTATGGGTCGATCAATCATACTTTTTGAAAAAAGTATATATCTATATTATGTAATATAACGTTAAACTTGCCGATCAATCATATTTTTTGAAAACTACATATTTATATGGTGTAATATAATACTTTCTATTTAGATAATTATTTGAAAGTTAAACCGTCATATATTTGTAACAAAAAATATATATTTATTTCATAAAAAGTTATATTTATATTTATGCTATTATTTAGAGTGACATTTTATTGAAAGTATACGTACATGCTCAACGGCGGATCTACATAGGGGCCCGTAGGGGCACGGGCCCCTGTAGAATTTTTAGTAAAATAATGTATATATATTATGTATAAATGTATTATTATATTGACATAAAAAATACACGTTATTAATTGTTATGCAAAGTTATTTAAATATAAAAAAAATTGTTTAAAATTATTTAACCAATATATTAAATTTTAAATTGTGGAATTTATATTTATGATATACTCAACTACTTGTTTATTTCATTTTTCATCCCAAAATACATAGGAAATACAAATATTATACATAAATATATATACTATATAGTGATTGAATCAAATGTGTCCCTATTCTTCAAATCAAATGTGAGACTCAACTCTAATTATTAAATAGGAAAAATGTGTCCGGTCAAGATTTAATCTTATTACTTTTTTTAAGTAGTTAAATATTGATTTGACCGTTGACTTTCGACGTCGACCGTTGACCGTAATTTGTGTCCCCATTATTTTTAAAGTCTACGTCCGCCCCTGTACATGCTTAAAAAGTTGAGACATATTTATATATTTGTTTATTTTTTTGTGCTAAATTATTTTCCAATGAAGACGAAAGCTTTTGTAAGCAGCAAAAAAAAGATTGGGCACGTGTAGGATAACTGATAATTGTGGGCGTGTGAAATGCAGATAATGGGCCCTAAATTATGACAATCATGTCTTGTTAGGTTTGGTGATTAGTCGTTATAAATGGGCCATATATACATAGGTTTTTATGATAATGTGAAAACATGGACTATCTTACACGTCCATGTAAAAACGTCCACGTGTCACTTTTGATGGTTGTAAGATGTCAGGTTTATGTAAATGAGTCAATTTATCGAGAGTTTTTATATTTTCTTGTTCGAGCTCAAACTTGACGAGTCGGACATTTAAGGCTCGATATGGCTCGAGATATGTTCGAACGCAATTTAAAATTTCAATAAAAAAAATATCTAATTAAGATATTTAACCAAGTTTACGTGTATTTAAGCGATTACTCGATTACAAACTACATACTCGAATGTAGATGCTCGAATTCGACTCAATTCAACCTGACTTTGAAAATATATCTAAAAAAAATGGTTTCCACGATGCGTTGAGATTAGCAAAAAATTATAGAGTTGGGTCCAAAACCACACTACCTAGCATATATAGAGTTGTAAATAGCCTAGAGTTTGAACTCCTGATACTCGAGGACGGACTGAAACATTTATCGAGCTTGTTTACTGATCGAGCTAATAATTGAGTTTTATTTATTAAGTAAGTCAAGCTGAATACATATCTTAATGAATCTAGCCGAGTTATCGTCGTTGGAGTCCACTCGGCGATGCACACCGGAAGAGCTTCAATCATTGTTCTAAAATCTCTTTGGTGCTTGTTGAAGATACGCCAAACAAGAGCACCGGAGTTTCCATGTCCGGCTATCGTGCACAGTTTTTGTTATGTGGTTTCAAAAATTACGAATTTGTCTTCACGCGGGGATTTTTTTTTATAGAATTTTGAAATTTGTTCCAACAAATGCATCATTTTTTTATTGTTACTATTTTTTTTTTCAACTGTAATTTGAATTTTACTGAGACAATGACTGTACATATTGAAAATTGAGTCAAAATGTAACTTCCATTATTCATAACTTTTATTCAATCACTTTTGTTAATTTTATTTCACATCACATTATGCAGCACATCATAGAACTTATTCATCTAAAAAAAAAAACTGAAAGAAACAGAAAATCACTCGAAACTCGTTCTAGACGAAGCAGTTAAAGAGGTCCCTTAGGCACTTAGATCTCTTCCAAATATCACATGTTATCGACTCATAAGCTCGATCGGTTAGATGAAACGAGTCCCAAAATAGGTACTCGTTTGGATTTTCGCACACCTTATACTTCTTAAACGGTCTCGTTCCTCCACAGCTAAACCGGCCGTTGTACTTATCGTAACCGCAGCACGCGTCATGCGCATCCGTCACATCTGCATTTTGTACGTTTTTCAAATCTTATGTTAGAAAAAACACAAAATATCCAACATCTTAATCATAACTAAAGAAATAATAATAACAATAACAAAAGCAAATGATTTATGTGTCGGCTTTGAGTGTTTTTTATTACTGTATTTTTCCGGATGAGCTGTCCTCGAGGCGACACTTTGTGCAAGGTCGAATATAGTAATCTTGGAGTGCGGTAAGGCCTGTCTCAAATCCCGGGCTTTGTTGTCGATGGCCTCGTTGTACAATGTTACTATATCCGAAGCATTTTTTAGGCACGGCCCGGTTTTTTTATCCGGGTTCAAGAATTTCAGGCCCGGCGAACACCCAAGATCAAGCAAGTTTAGCAACACGAATTTTCGTCCTCCTTGATTGTATATTTCCTGCACATATATATACGCACAATCGTATTGATTTGTTTTTCTTTTTGGCAAAATTGACCCTAATATCATGATGTTTTTCGAAATTGCAATTTAATCACGACATATTTATTTTTGTAAAATTATATCACAATCAATCTTCAATTTGTTGTAAATCGGTGCACCAATTTGCAAAACCCATGCAAACTATATAGTAATCTTCAGTTTGTTATTCGACCACAACAACGGCTGGTTTTTAGAACTCGTGCACCGATTTGTAATAAACTGAAAATTGTGATATACTTTTCAGAACTGAAAATATCGTGGTTAAATTGCAATTTCAAAACAAGTTTGTGATATCAGGGGCAATTTTGCCATTTTTTGTGTGTGATTTTGGTTCGATTAATTGCGGGTACATTTCGACTTACTTGGACCACAGTCGTCAAGTTCCCGATCATCGCTTTCACTAACTCTGTCTTGTCGGGAATCGGAGTATTCAATTCGAAATAAACGATAACTTCTGTGGCACCAAAGGTGATGACATTGACAGCATTGGATGCAATTTTTTTAGCTTCTTTCGAGCCAAATGTTCTGCTTAGGCTTTTCAATTCGGTTATATAATTCTGAACTTGTTGATCGCGGCTAACCGACTGGAAAAAAAAAAGAAGGAAAAAAACAGAGAGAAACAGAACAACGATTCGAAGATTTAATGTACAAGAATGTAAGAACACAATGAGATTCTATCATCATAAGCTAACATTATTCAGAAAAAAACTTCGGATCTCGGAAAAATAAAATAAAATAAAATAAAATAACATACGAAGCCTGGCAAAGTCGTGTTCAAGACCCCAGCTCCAGCTGATGCGAAGCTCGCCCCATTGTAATTTGTGTCGATTTTTCGAGTTTTATTTAGAAACGGGGGAATGAGTCCTTTGATTCCTGCAAATTTAGCTACACAAACGCCTCGAATATAGTTACATTTTCTTTCTTGATCTGTATAACGTATTTTGTCCAAGAAAAAGACTTATAACAACAAATGTAATTAAGAAAACCTTAATAAAGTGTTCTCTTAATGTAAGATTCGTTCGAAGATTCTAGTTTGGCACAGTTAGTTAGTTAGTTACCTAGGTAGTCGATTATGGTTAGGCCATCTGTAAATCTCCCAGTCGGCTTATTTCCAAATCGGGTCTCGCCATAGGGAAGGAAATTGGCCTGGTCTTGAGTGCTCGTGTTAATGTAGTTGTTGTTCCCTAAGTCGAGATAGGAATCGCCAAAGGCAAATATGACTGGCTGTTTGCAGCCTTCGATGCCGTTTAGGACGATGGCGAAGAAGAAGGCGAGCACGAGTATCGATAATTTTGCCATTTTCGAGTTTTGATTTTAGTCCCTTTTTTTTTGTTTTTATGTGTTGTATGATGTGTGGGAAAGGTGTAAGAGGAGTAATAATATATAGTGGTAATTGACTGTGTAATTGTGTGTGTTTTGTATCTTCATCACAAGATTGTGTATCAAATGTGAGCTAAGTGTTATGATAAATGGGTTTGACTTTGGGTGAAATTTTGTTCCGACTCTCTTGGTTTTTTGACAGGCTGTGGAGGGAATATTTTACCTTTGCCACATTTGAAGATTTCATAATCTCTTGGTATCATTTTAAATATACTGGAGTAATACTACATTAGGTAAGCTCCTATTTTATTCATAGCACTGTAAACGAGCCGAGCCAAGCTCGAACACCTTAACGCGCCGAGTCGAGCTCAGCACGTTAAATAAACGAGCCAAAAATCGAGTTTGAGCTCGGCTCATATATCTATTAGAATATCACTTGTGAGTTGTCCCACATCGTTCATACATGGAAAATATACTCACCTTATAAGTAATGGGCTACTCCTCCTTCTACTAATTGGTTTTGAGATGGAACCTCACTTGGGCTTCATTTGAGCTAACCCTCTCATGGCGCTTCACTTGTGTGGGACTGCACTCGTTTTATTAACGTAACGAGCCGAGTTCGAGCCGATATCGAGCTTTAACAAACAATTATAGAAAATTATATAAAAAATCTATAAAAATCCTCTTTTCGAGCATTGTCGAGCTGAGCTGAGTACGATTCATAACTACACGAGCTTTAAATGAACTCGAGTTCGGCTCGTTAAGGCCTCGAGCTCGAGCTGAACTCGAGCTTTAACGTGTCGAGCTCGAGCCGAGTCGGAGTCGAGTCAAGTTAGGATGGTTTAAGTTAACACCACTCATGCATGACGCTTGAGCTAAACAGTTTGCGAACAAAGCTCTCTTCAGTTGTGAAAGTTTGAACTTGACTCGTTCTATTATTTCAATGAGTTGTGTTCCAAAAGCCACTCTAGCTCGTTTATTAAACTAGTCAAGTCAAGCTTTTTCGGGAACAACTTGTTTTTAGTTTTTGTTTCTTTAATGGATTTTCAATGAAATAATCGAAGTGAATTTGCTTGCAAACGGACATTTTGTCATTTCATGTTTGCGGACAAACTATTCAAGTTTCTTGATTTATTAAATGAGCACGAGTTCGAATAGAATATACCCCGCTCAAATATCCCCTTTGTGTGAGAAGGTTGTTCGTTCTCTCTTTTAATTGTGACACGTTGTGTCATTTTTTAGCCCAAAATTACATTTTTTTTTCACCAACGTTGTCTTCAAATTAATAAATTTCAATTTTTTTTGGACTTCTTTTGAAATATTTTTAGAGTACATGTTATTTTTGAATCGTTTTCGACGGGGCATGTAATATTCCGGCAATAATTATTCATGTTTTGATCAATTTTAGAAGCTACGGACTATTATGAATTAATTAATCAACTAGTACTAATACCTATGTACAACATGGGTGCCGAGTTAATAAATATATGTCTAAAGTTATCTATATATATATAATTACTGGCTAATGAGCATTTAATAAAACCTATTAAATTATACCTAGGTGGCAATATAATTTTTTCCCTCAAAAAATCGTTACTTTTTATTCATTTAACATCTCATTTAATTATTAGGTAATCAATACACTAATTACTTTAAAATTACAAAAATCATTTTAAATTTTCTAATTAATTACAGTTGACCATATAATGTATTGACTATTTAATGTGAGTAGATGTTATTGTTGTGGTTACATTTAAATTAACTTATTTCGGAAAATAAAAAACATATATGAAATTCCTAAATAAATAATATGTAATTCACAAAAAAAGATACATACCAAAATATACATTATATCCAATATGATAAACGCAATTTAAAAAATTTAAATATTTCAGCTCCTTTAATTGTAAATTTAACAAAAATTATTAATCATTATATGTATACAAATAACTCACAATATTTTATTTATATATTTGTGCAAATGCACAGGTTAAATACTAGTTTATGTCTAATACCAAACCTAACTCTAGAGCAAAAATAATATAAAAACAACATCACGAAGTATAGATTTTCGCCATGTCACCATCCGAAACATGAGAATTTGCTACTCAGACTCAACACGTTTTGAATTAATATATAGGAAGAGATTGCATTCAAATCGTAATATTTAATTGAGAGAGGAAGATAAGTAATGATGGATCTCCAAATTCATGCGAACTAAATTCAATATCAAGCCGAGTGAAATCCAATTAACAAATATTAAATTCCATATCAGAGTACAAAAGGATAAAAATAAGTGGATTTTGATTCATATAAAAAAAATATATGTTTTGATATTAGAAAAAAATGTCATAGGCTACCTAGTTGAGTTTAACTTTTTAAATAATTATATTTAAAACACTAGTAATCCAATTTTTAAAACACTAATAACTAACTAACTAAGTAATAATTATATTTTGTTTTTATGTGAAAATTAACACAATAAGATCACCTTCTCGCTGAAATCCAATATCCTGTCTAGAAAATATTTTAGCACATTTTTTTATGAACTAAAATAATACTACTATTGTTTAGAAAATCTTTATCCAATAATAATATAATAAGAACTAAAAATTCCATGTGAATATATTGTCTGGGATATTTTTTTATCACAATTTCTTTTTATTCAAGCTATTTATTTTAATATCAATATTATCTTTATTTTATTTCATCCCGTTGAGATTTTTTTTTTTAAAAAAAAAAATAGCTAATTGTTTTTAATAGCATATTAAAATTGTTAATTGCATATTAATTTAATCCTAAAACATGGCGCTTCGGCCGCTGGTGAAGATGGGACCTGCGAAGGAAGTAAGCACCACCCTAAGACTGGGTTTTGAACAGGCACTGCATCCGCGACTATTCGGCCAACTGCATTCTCGGGACGTAACATATATTAATAATCGTTATACTATTTTTCGTGTTAATTAACCGGTTATGATCCGTCAGAATTGCAAAACATTATATTATTCACTACACGTACAATTTTTCATTTTATGATTGACTCATATGTAAGTAAATAATATATATATATATATACATACATATATATATTGTCTATTAATTAATGATTAAATTTATAAAATTTGATATATCTATTAATTTCTGATTTAAAATAATGTACATACTTTAATTATAATACCTTATTTATATCTGTAAAGATTTGCTTGATTTTGAAAGTCAATCCCTATAAGGCGCCTAACTAGTGTGGATTTAATCTGGTGCAGTTCGGAAGAAAATTGTGAAAATGGACTTCCATAAAAAAATCAAAGCAAAATTCCTCTTTCAACTCAATTTGCAAAAAAAACAAAAATCAATAATAATAATAATAATAATAATAATAATAATAATAATAATAATAATAATAATAATAATAATAATAATAATAAATTGATTAACAAAACATAATTCAAATTAATATTTGCCATAAGACTTATAGCTAAATGAAATTTATAGGAATTAACGCCAAAAGTTGGCTGCAATTGGATGTATTTCAATGGGTGAAATTTTATATTATTAGTGAAAGAAGATTTAGGGGAAGAATTAATGATTTTAATATGTAAATGAAGATTTGATATGTATTATAAAATCTATTATATGATATGTGTAACACCCCGAGTTTTATTAATAAAGGAAAATACTAGCTTTTAGTTTTAAGCTAGCCTTTGTTAATAAATAGTTATGTTTATGTTCAAGATCAAGCAATTCAGTCAATCAGATTCTAAGTTCGACTATTAGTCGATATATTATTCGGTTAGATAATCGAATAAGTTTTCAGATTTAATTCCGATTCATTTATTTAGTTAATGAGTCTGGAATTAATAAGCTAAGTTGACGAACTATTCGAAATATTAACGTTCGGATTAAATCGTCAAAGTAAAGAATATTCGAATTTACTTTCGAATGTCATGTTCATGTTCGGAATAATATTCCGATAGTTAATCCAGTTAGAGTTCCTCATGTCAAGTTCGGTATACCTATACTGTGACGCGTTCACATTGGTACACCGTCCATTGTTGATTAAGTAATGGTCAATAGCCGTACTTAATTAACTTAATCATGTTTAAGCTAATTAATCGAGGTTAGCTTAAGATAATCATGATTAGCTTAATGTTAATTAAAGATTAATTAACATTAATGAGGATTAATTAAAGGATTAACATGCTTAAGTGTTAATGAGCAAGTCATTCAGTTTATTAATAGAAATCATGTTTTAGTCCCGATATAATAACGTTGTTGATTATTATTTTCGGAATTAATTATTTTTAGTTAAGATTACCGAAATATATTTTCGACGTACCGTTTACGTTCGGAATAATTTTGGTAATTAAGTATTATGTTTAATTGAATAATTAAATATATTTAGTGATTAATTAAGCAAATTAATCACACATGAATGATTTAACCGTGGAATTAAGCCTATAAGCCGTGAGCATCTTTGCAATATTGGAAGCTCAAATTGTCTTTATTTTGGTGAAAACGTGGCATGCATAAAGGTGCTAGTCATCACATAATTAATTTATGTGCTACATTTGGAAACATACAACAAAGCCACGACACCACCTTATGACCCAATAATTTTTCTCTCGGCTTTATGTGTAAGTGGGGGGTAGAGACAGAATATTATTCCATTTTTCCTCTTATTTCAGGTACAGAAAACAGAGTTTAGAATAAAGAGTGAGAGAGAGATTAATAATCCGTTCCATACTCCAAACATTACAGCACCGCAAGCACCCTACCACACACGAGCACACGAGCTGATTTCTTTACCTCAAGAACTTCCTTTCGTCGGAAATCGGAGGCTACAGAGGTAAAGTAAGCTTGTTTTGAGATAATCATGTTGGAGTTAAATCAGTTCATTGATGTCTCGGTCGTTTAGTAGCCAGGGGCCCTTCGGCCGTGTGTGTGTGTATCCGAGAATATTTATGTTCAATTATCATGTT